GTGAAATGACGCGAGCACCAAGCACAGAACCCGCTGCTCCTGTTCGTGCATTTTTCTGATATAGGGCCACCGGTTCACGGAAGGAATGGCACGCGTTTCAGATCGATATCGGTTCTCGGATGGCAACCTCCTTTTCGGACGGCAACATCCGATTTGCCTTTAATCGGTTCGACAACGGAGTCGGCCGACTGCTCGGGGACCGGACACGCGATAACTATCGCTCATTAACGTCATTATTAAAAATGCGGCAATTAGACCGCGGCGAATATCGACTTATATGGAGTATGCCACCAGTCGAAACACCTTTCTCGATTTTTGCTTCCTTCTCTTACCGGTTGCTTGATTAAACGCGATCGCATTGCAGTCGAACCCTGTCAATTGAATTTCTATTACGTTCCTTTCAAAAAATGAAAGACATAAAGAAACTGGTGGTCGGGCGCGCCGATCAGTGTCACTAAGCGACAAGCGTAAAGGAAATCAGTTTTCAAAAGCGTAGAGTCCGCCCTTAGGCTGATGACTTCATAGAAATGACACGGATGGCTCGCGGTGGTGTTTCGCGAAGGGCGAAGGGCGAAGGGCGAAGGGCGAAGGGCGAAGGGCGGGCGAATCATAAAAGGCAGACCGCATCGCGATAATGACATGAAAAATGAACTCGACCGAAGATAATCGGCGAAATTAAATAATTGCACGCTCTGCACGCTTGTAGATGAGCGTGCTCGCTTTGCGCCGACGAATTTAATCGATTTACGATCTTCTCCATAATCCAGAGGTGGCTTCCGGTTCTCGCTACCGGCCCGGGGAGATCCGTTTCGTTGATTTCTCCATCCTCTTTTTCTCTTCTTGGCACCGTTTGCTGTAGGGTGCTTGTAGGGCCCGTTTCTTTCTGTCAATCTTACTTTACCGCCTCTTCTCTTCTTCTTCAACTCTTTTTCATCCTTTCCAGTGTCTCTCTTCGTTCTTCCCCCATTTTCGTTCCATCGGTAGCTTCCTTTGCTTTTTACTCGTCCTCCTTTTGTTCAGTTTTACGCTCCCTCGACAGCTCTTCCTCCTTCATTTTTTTTTCCTCTTATTCTTTCTCTCTGTTTCTTTGTTTCCTGTTTTCACTTTTTATATTTCTTATCTCAAGTGATTTTCACTCTTCTCCAACAATACTGAATACCATCGATATACAATAATTACCTACTTCGTTTCTTCTCGTCTTCTTCTTTGATATTTTTTAACATTATTCTTATTTGAACTTCGATACCTGCTTCTTTTACCCTTATCGTTACATTTTTATTCTTTTTTCTTCTTTGACTCATTTACCTGAAAGTCCCCTTCCACGTCTCGTCACGCGGTGGTTCTCTCGGTGTCCCTCCCCGCCAGGTGTCAGCTCGAAATGAAAAATGTAAATGAGTGGTAATGATGAGAAGGTAACTGTATCGATGTATATCTCTTCATCAACGTTCATGCTACGCGTTTACAAGGCACACACGTTGACGTTACACCGCATCATCTCGAACCAGTTAAATAATTTTACATTCTTCGTTCTTACTTTCTAAACTCTATAACCATTACGTTTACGCATTTCCTTGAATAATCTTGATCAAAGTATCTAAGCAATGTGGCAGTTCAACGGTGGTAAAGAATTCATTACTTTCCCGCTTAACGTCACGTCGTTATTCCGCGTGCGTCGGGTTTTGATTAAGGTGTCGGAGGGTGACGAATTGCGTAATGAGGATTTGATGCCCTCGCGCGGTAAGTAATTAGTCCGCGTGGATTATTAATGTCTTGAACTAACAATTTCATCAAGGACCTTATTCCGCTTCGAAGCAATTTCGTTATATCTCTTCTTTGTCTGTCTGTCTGTCGCACGCAAGATCAAACTCCAATTATTCCTCCCGCAACTTTTGACCCCTTAAACTGTACATATCTCTTTTCTTTTTAGCCTTGGAAATCCGAAGATGATTAGCAATTCATAATATTTGCCTCACGCGATCTTCTTTTTTTAAATTAATGAAATCACCGTCTGAATACTCGTGAACATTGAAGAAAATTCTACATCGAGATTGGACCGTCAAAAAGGTGGCGTCGAAGTGGTTGAAGAAAAAGAAGAAGAAAGGAAACATACACGAGACTGCCGGCAATAAGATCGACGCGGAGGAGGTTAATTACCGAGACTCGTCGCTTTGGACCTTTTATGGGGTCTACAGGGAATGGCGAAGCGCGAGAAAGGAACGGTAAGCGTCAGTAAAAAAGCGAAAGAGGTGCAACCCCCACGATCCGCTATCTGAATCTCCTGCAACGTTCGCCACCTTCCTTCTTCTCTTTTATTCTTCTTCTTCTTCTTCTTCTTCTTCTTCTTCTTCTTGGTTCTCTTAGAGATTCTCTTATTCTTCTGCTAGCTAACCGGAGGCGAGGATGAACCACGTGCCCGTTTGAAAAATCAGCGCGTTTACTGAACGGCTAATTAATTTACATAGTGGAGCAACGTGGTTCTCTCTTTTTTTTTTTTTCTTTGCTAGACTCCCTTCGACTTGAAGTGTGGGAAATAGAGCAACGTCTCGCGAGACACACATTCTGATGGAGTGAAAAATCGAAAAAAGAAATTGCCACCTCTCTTTAAATTCATTCAACTCGTTCCTGTTCTTTCGATCCAGTCAGCAAGCTGCACGCATTTTTCGCAATTAGCGATCCACCACTGGTGACCATGGGTTAGCCATGGGTGCGGAGATGGGTGCCGAGGGGAGAAGAAGGAGACAGGTGGTGAGCCGGTAACGCGCAAGAACTCCCAGGTATCAGGGCATCGGGCGACACTCTCCCGGGTGTCTTCGGAAAAGATCCGAGCTCCCGACAATGAATACCTATTAAAACGGTGTGAACAATGCCCTGGAGGCTGGCCCGTGTGGTACGCTCTCAGGATCGCGTCGGTAGCAACAAGAGCGCTAAGTAGAGACCGGGCAACCTCTTGTGCCCCGCAGGTGATATACTGCGAGATCCGCGATATCGAGACGTGGCTCTCGCAGGCCCCGCAACTGGACAACACTCGCCTCTTTCGCTTTGCTGTCTCTCGTATTCGCATTCCTGTTCCTCTTCTCTTCTGTTCTGCCCTGTTCGCGTTCGCACTCCGCGACCATTGCGATCCGGATTCGTGTCCATTACCTTGCATACGCTGCGACCCACGCGTCCTCGCGCGACCGTTTTTCCTCGCCAACAGGAATTTTCGTCACGTCTTAAGTATAAATATTTAGATGGCTCTAAATGCAATTCACTTATAAATCCGGGTAATCAATTAGAAAGAATCGATTGATCCGACCCACGAGACAAGTGGAACCGATGAAGAAAAAGAAGAAGCATTCAGGACACACAGGTGGTGGTATCATTGGGGTGGGGTAGGCGATCGTCCGTGGCCAGGTTCGCGGTACTTAGCGCGGCGTTAAATCGATAAAAGTGTAGAAGCCGCATTACGAGGGTTTCGTGTGGGCACACTTAGGTAGAGGCCGCGCACGTTCGTCGTGAGATTCGAGCCTCTTGCCTTCTGCGACTCCAGACTGGCGGAGGAAGATAATGGACGGGAAAAAGAAGAACGTTTGCCCATTATTCCGCGCCGATTCTTCGATTGGCCCCACCTGATTGCGATTGCAGATGAGATTGTACGCCCGCCGCGAGCAAAACCACGCTGTTTCGCGCCGTTGCATAATCGTTTCCCTATCCCTTATTTCCACCTTCGATCGCTTCCAGGATAGTAATCATCGATAATCCAAATTTCGAAGAAAGTTCATTTCGAATATTTCTACAAATTATCCTACAATCGAAACTTAAATGCCTTTTTCCTCTCATTCGAGGCGAGTTTTCGTGCACCCCGAGACCTCGAAGATACCAATACTTTATTCCGTGTATTTTTAAAGCGACCTTGAACACTGTATGATTTTGCACAGTCACGCCATTTATGATTTCGCAAACGAGTTAAGCGAACTGGGTCGTACCGATGCAGATCAATTGATCTAGCAAGTGGAATAACGGGGCTAGAACAAGAGAGCATTGTCTCGAAATAAAAAGGATCGATCAAGAACAAAATTCTGTTCGATACATGAAAAACATGCACCAGCTACAAGGGTCTCTAAGCTGACCTGAAATTTAAAAATGTCATATCCACGGCTATGGATATCTTGACTAATTATGAATAAGCAATGCAAATGGGTTAAGCAATGTTACGATTTCGCGTCACGAAGGGATTATAAACTCTTCTTTTCTACTGAAATTACAATGTTCGAGCGCCACCAGTTTCTCGCAATAGCCAAGCTTATCTTTTTTTACTGGATAATTTTCACCGGCTATTGATTGGCAAAAATATCATTACCTCCACCCCCTTTAGATACGTAGATTACGATTCAAGGGTTTTCTAAATAACAAAGATTTCCCGTGCACGATAGCATTAGCTCTCCCTCCTTCTTATTAAATAATTCATATGTTTATGCCTAATCTTGTTAAAATAGATAATCGCTCGCAACAATCTACGTTTTCACCGTTACCATTTATCATTGTATGCTTTCTGAAAGTACGAATATTAAATTAACATGATAGAAAAAAAAATAATGTTCCTTAACTATATTTCAACACTTTCTCCGTGGTTTCGTACAATATGACGTAACAATAACGGTGGAATTACAATGGTAAGAAATTCGAACAAGTTCGACGGTGAACAGACGAATTGCAGGATCGCGGAAGAACGCGGGTCATTGTTTTTGAACCCTTATTGTTCCCTCAGAGACAGAGTAACGACAGCATCGCGTGTTCAGAAACATATTGCGAATGCTAATGCTCCTGGATGCGCAACGATGTTTAGCCACGACTATGTACCGCAAGAAATTTCTGAATCCTTGCATCGCATTTCCGACAAACACTTGTCTATCGTTAAAAAACGCGGAATATTCAAATATCGTAATTATTTTTCTTTTATATCTACACCTCAGTCGTGAATTTCTTTCACGGTTCTTTCATAAAATATTTCTATCACTTACCTTGGAAGTAGCTCTTCGTTCGGAGATAGCTAACGCTGAGTCTCAAGATGCTGAGTCGATCCAGCTTGCTCAAAATGTTTTGTTCGAACGGAAGCAACGACGCCAGAGTATCCAATTCGGCGTTCAATCGTTCCCGATGTCTCTTGCTGGGGTTCGACTTTGTTACACCATCCTTTTGGGGTGGTTTTAAACTGTGAACAGATAAAAAAGGAATTTATTATTATAATTCTCATCCTGACGTAAGATTATCCGCGAGTCGAAAACCTATTCAATTTGAATTTTATCGTGGATATAAGGCAATAGAATGTTGTCTTAATTAGCCAGAAGGATCGAATTAAACGTTCGGGGTTGAATCGAGCAAATTGCAAGAAATTCTTTGAAAGAACATCGCTGACCACCTTCGAGACTCGGACAACAGGCGGCCTACGGGCAAAGGATCTCGATAATTAAAGGTGACCACTGTCGGAGGATTGATTGACACGTGGGGAATCCCTGCGGACCGATGTACCTACTAAACAGCTGCGATTCTTCGCCATAAATATAATTATGTACAAAGACATTTGTACATCCTGTTTCTAGTTTAACCCGACAGGACATAAGATCCACGAATTGTTTGGTAATTATGACATCAGGGATATGATCACGTATAATTGGAAATAATGAACGTGAGGCCACTGATCGTTCACCACGTTCATGTAAAAAAATCAAACGCTACGATTCCGGCTCGGACTGTTTATTTAATTGAAGTCTTCACCATGGGGACACCGTACTAAACCAGTACTGGACTTCTCATCAAAGACACCGCGCCATTTCACTTTTATTTCTCTATTTAACTGCAATTATTATTTTTAATAATCTTGATTTCACCAGCAGTCTTCCAAGATCCCATGCACGTGTTAAAACACAAATTGAAATACGCCTATTAGAGAAGTCAGAAAATGCAACGTCGATTGAAAAAATTTGAAAAGTGAAGCGCAGAATTGAAGGTAAAAGAGAAAAAGGAAGGAAGGAAGGAAGGAAGGAAGGAAGGAAGGAACGAGCGAAAAAAGCACGATGGCCTTAATTAAAATGCTTAGGGGTTAGAAAGCGTGATGAATGAGATTACCAACCATGTATAGGCAGACAGGTACGACTACGCGGCAGCTTCGAGAAGAACTCTATTAATTATTAGATGACACCGAATCCATTATCCCCGGGACGAGAGGAAGTCCTCGAGGAATAGTCTCATTCGGATACCATTAGGAGCTTCGGTGTCGGCCTTTTGTTCTTTCTCCCGTTGGTCGCGCAGCAACGTGCAAAACATAGTTAATTATTGGAACGAGGACAAGAAGAAAGGTGTGCCACGTGGGCAGTGCCATTTCTCTCTTATGCTTCTACTTTTTTTTTCACATTCGTTTTTGTCGCTCGTCTATCTAGGAAATCTGGCATTGCCTAATGATGTTTTCAAACTTAAATCATTCTGTCTAATTGTGACACCACTTTTGAATCGCGTTATATTATACAACACATTTTCAAATACCTTAATGAGACCATTTGCAATCACCTCGGTAAATGTAACAATTCCTGTAGAAATTCGTAATTTATCGTATTAATTAGTGCATTCTAGATGCTTAATTGAAGAAAAAAAAAGAAATAAACATAGTAACGTGTGCTCTAAAGCAGTCAAACGTAAAACATGAAGAAAGCTACCTAATCTTTTAGCTTATCTTGCATTTTTCAAAACAACGAATTTATTTATACTACACTTTAGAATTTCATTTCTTGAAAATCTTTTTTCTCTGTCCTCGAACACGGACAATTTGATTTGGCAGGAAAAAGGAAGCAAGCTTCTGAATAACCCCAAGATTGCGGTATGATGTGTTCGAGGAACTCGTCAAGGATACCTGGCGAACCTCCTTGCAATTTGATGACACTAATTGCAATCGTTAAGATCAACGACAATAATGACGACGAGGATAATCCAAACGTTGGGCTTTAAAAAATGCTAACAGTATCAATTACTCAAAAAAAGGAAGAACACAGAAAAAGATCATGCTCGTGGAAATGTTTAATTGGTTATAAAATACGAATGAATCGTAGGAAACTTATCCTGTTATCATCGACGATTTGATCATCAAGGTACCGCGATGACATAGTACCACGATGACAGACAAATATAAAAAAAAAAAGAAAAAAAAAAAAAATTATAGATTTCATGGAACAATGTCCCAGAGGGAACCGATGAATGGGACATACGCGTTTACGTAACCGACTTTTGTTCTCTGCCAGCGTGGGAAGAAAGCGAACCGTGCACTTTGCACGGCAGAAAACTGCATTTCAATGCGTTCTAAAACTGCAAGTGCGCCGGAGAATGAAACCGATGCGACAATACCGTAATTATAACGTAATTGTCTCTTTATTCCTGCCTCTGACCATTTCCTGGGCCGTGTCGTCCCACTTGCGAATTCGACGAAACATTAGATCATATTTAATCACTTTTATTTTCCGACGGACAGGTTACATAGAGAAAATGAGAACTAGATTGTGACACGGTGGATTTCGAAGCTTAAAGTTTCATACAAATGACTACACAATAATTTCCAGAATTTCTGAAGCGATATAGGTCGATCCCATGTTAGCCAAGGTACATAAATCTAATATCGATCATGGTTTCTGTGATTTACGAGCAACAAATACAAACTTCCAGGCCTGCTTCGAATTAAATAACACGAATCAAAAGTGGCGCGATCGTGTAATCGCTAGGTATACCAACACGCCATTCTCGAATCCATCAGCCCTTCTAATCACACACTCAAGATTGCTCGAATTCATATCAAATCTTCACCTTGACAATTACTAAACAAATGCGATATTTTGAAAAACTTTTCCAAAAATTCTTTTTACCGTAAAAATCATGAAGAGAGAAACATCCAAGCAGGATCCATTCCCCTAAAACGAGCCCGCCATTTTGCTCCTGGCATCGATGAAACGTCGCATCCCTTCGGCCCTTCCAACCCCTTTGTACAAAAGCGTCTGCGTTTCCCTTTCCTCCCTTTTCCTCCCCTTTCCTTCTGAGCTCGTAGCTTCATAGTTGACGTCCTTTCCGCGGGAGAACAGAAGCCGGCTAGGGGTGTAGAGGGGTTGATCGTTGGTACGGAAACGTTGAGACGCGCAGGCGCTACGAAGGGTGGGTCCACTATGGATTTTCGTGGGTAGAGACGAAGTGGAGGAGTTCCGGGGTGGCAGACAGCATGGGGTAGCAATGGAAGCTCCCACCGCAGAAAGGATGCTAGAACGTTTCCTGGGACGGTGATATACACGCCTAGACAACGGACAGGGGTGAGCAACGGTGTCTAGGAATGCATAGGCTCGACCTTGAACCGAACCCTCTTGGATTCGATATCCTTGGAGGGTTGTATCAAGAAGCAGGACTCGATTCTTTTAGTTGCTTTGTTCAGACCAGGGGATGGGGTTGTAGTTCCGAAAGGTGTAATAAAATAGAACTTCTTAAGGGTTGATAGCGTCGAATAAGTCCTTTGTAGATCTGAGACGATACCAAGTTTTAGTCGTACAAAACTCGAAGCAATTATTTTCCTTGTCATTAAATATATTAAATGTTTTACTTCGTGTTTAATTCACGTTTTCTAGTTAATATTAACATGTATAGTAGATACTTGTTTTTTTTATTTGAAATTCAAGTGAATTTCAATTTTAATTTTTACACGCCCCTTTTCAACGTTTCAATGTTGTTTATTAATTACATTTCACGTTGTCGTTTTCTCGTTCGTTATTTAAGCAAGGTAGGGAAGGCTGATTTTATCGAATCAGATCTCGTGGAACGATAAATAGGTATCGGTCACGTGGTCGAAGAATTACGACTCACTGTACAGTGGGTAATGACTGTACATGGGTGCTGGCCGTCCGTGATAATTGCATTTTAATGGAAAAATGAAAATTTCGTTCCACGTTCACAGGAAACGATCCAAGAACAGAAAGTTTTTACCCTTAGATACAAAGGGTAGATGCAAAGTTTCCAGAAAAGATTCGTCATTTCTGTAATCTCAGTGATTGAGACGTTACTTTTTCATTCTTGGAAATATTCTAATTTCTAGATTGAATTGCGTTTACCTCGAAAAATCGAAATTTTCTTCGTCTCTCAAGAGCGAAAGATTCTTCGAACGATAGAGAAATTTCCGCGCGAGCCATGCGGACACGCAACGAATTTTGCTCGGACGCGGAACGAGCGGAAGTGCATTCGCCTGTCAACGTAGCATTTCGTAAGTGGCGAGTTGAAAGAGAGCACCAATAGCGGTCGGAGCTGACTTTCGACATCCTGTGGCGAATAATCGACCATATGTCGACTGACGTCAGAATTAGTGGTCTTCGTCAAAGAAAGCTCCTTTGGTAAGAAATATGGAAATGCAGCTGGTAAGCAACTTCTACAGTGGTCTCTATTTTTTCTACGTTCGCAAGCTCAATTCATATGTATATCCTGCGGTATCTAAATCAACAGTATAATGTAGAATAATTGAAAATATTCTACATTAGAGCACTACGAGTGGTATTGTTACAAGTTTGGTTGTAAGTACATACTTGGCACGCAATTTATTTTTCACCGTGAAATCGTAGCTCGCTAACGGTGCCGAATTAGCGTGTTACGATGCTAACGGGAGCAGAAAGGATCGTTCTCCCGCGTGCGTTAGGCGTGTTAACAAACGGCCCAGTCACCGTCGGTTAGCATTACACGGACGCGAGCCGGCGTTCAACCAGAGCGTCGCGAGCGCCGTTTCCTTCATCGCCGTCGCGAATTAATTACCACGATCGTTCTTGGATTAATTACGGCCGGCGCGGCGTATCGGTCAGACGCGAGAACAAGCCTGCTTTTTCTCGCGCACGCGATTTGCCGGCTAAACGCGACGAGGATCTGCCTCGCCTCCGATCAAACTCCTTATTTTTTACCCGAGACTCGCGCGAAAAGTTCTATAATTCATATTTCCACTATCTAAGAAGACTAACCCCCGTGAAATAAATTGAAATGTTCATCAGCCGTAAATTGCAATGGAGATGTGGAAAGTCATGACGGCTTTATTAGAATTAAGAATGGAAATGATTCGGCGAAATCCAATTTCACGGATTCGAACAATGCACACCACTCGAAAAACTGTCTCAGTTGGTACAGTCAATTAGTTCCGGCAGTCGTAGAGCATCCCGG